GGTTTTTGGGGGTTTTTTTAAAATTTTATATGTGTTTTACTTTTTTTTTTTTTGGGGGGGGGGTAATGAAAGTGTTCCAAAACGCAATATTAATGTATTGACGACCTAATATTAGTAAATATGCTTGTTTTCATCATCATTAGCTTTGTTCGTAGTCAAATGTTCTCGAGTGCTAACGTTGACAATGGCAAAAAGTTTAGGTGATAGCTTACCAACATGCAAATTTAGAATTTCTTCTGGAGGATCAGTAGGATGTCTAGAGTTCATCAGGTAACTGGTTCTCTGTTCCTTTTCTGTGAAGTATTTCAAATGTTAAGTCCTGCAACTTTAATGACAAACGCATCAATCTACAAGTCAACTTCTGAGCTGTCTGTAACTATCTCAAGGCAGCATGATGGTCAGTGATCACTGTAAGCTTTTCTCCACTTAGGTACATTTAAAATTTTTCTACAGCCCAGATCACGGCTAGACATCCTAACTCTGTAGTAGTATAGTCTCTTTCTGCAGAGTTCAGTGTTCTACTAATACATGCTATGACACCCTCCCGACACAGAACTGCTATCAATCCAACATTTGCAGGACAGAGAATTCACAAAAAACCCACTTTATTTTCTGGAATGTATGTTCACAGTGAGGGGGGGGGTCCATTTCCACGTAATACGCTTCCTTCGTAATTGATATAAAGGCTTAGCAATTGTGACAAAGTTTGAAAGGAACTGATTATATCAAACACACATACCAAAGAATGTGCTTAACTGATTGCAGTTCTTTGGAGTTGAGAAGTCTTTAACGCGTGCACGTTATCATCATTTGTGTGTACTCCCTCAGAAGTACGTTTAAGTTCTAAATATGATACTTCTGGTTGGCAAAATTTACTTTTATAATTGTTTACATAAAATTAGCTGTATGAAGCATGTAGAAAACCAACGGTTAAAATATGGGTTAAAACACTATAATGTCTTCGATATAAACCTTGAAACATGCAGTTGCTCCTGCTAGAACCTTATCCATAAACCTAAGGAAGGTGGCATGTGCATTTATCATTCCAAATGGCATCACCTTAAATTGATAAAGTCCATAGTCCGTTATGTAGGCAGTCTTGTTTCGGTCCTCCCTTTCTACAAGAATTTCCTAAAATCCACTTGATAAATCTAACGTACTGATACATGCCGCACGTGACAAAGCATTCAAAATATCACTTATAAGAGCAATGGATATCCGTTAGATTCTAAGACTTGATTCAATTTTTCTGTTGTCCACATAGAATCTAAAATCATTGGTCTTCTTCTTCTGGACAATATCTATTGGAGAAGCCCAAGAAGAAGTGGAAGGTCCAATTAACCCACACATGTAGTTGGTTTCAAGAATATCTGCACAAAATTATGATAGCAAATACAAATTTCAAAATGATATCAAACATGATCAATCAGACCACGATACAATAATTGTGCTCGCTGAGGAATATGACTGATGTCACTGTTATGCTCTTTGATCCACATTTTGACAAAATCAGGCTGGTAAATTGTTGTATTATCGTCTTGGAAGAGACTTTGTTCATGAATGTAAAAATGGAACTGAAAGGTCCCAAATCTGGACATAAGAATATCCTCCTTTAACATACTGTAACGCCAGAACCACATAAGAAAGATCAAGTGCATGTTTGTTCTTCATATTTTACTTTAATGTTACTAAAAAGAATTCAAATCCTATCTCACACAACTAGTTGTCTCTTTGTCCGCATTTTGCACTCAAAGCCACATTGAAATCTTACTTCCCTGTTTGCGTGAGGTAAGATATTGTTGAACTGATTGCCTGCAGTAATATTACTGTTTTGTGATATCCATCATAATGTATGGTTGTGTCAGATCCTGTCCACTGATAAAGGAATTGGTCAAATGTGAGTCTGGCGTCTGTTGTATACTTAATGAGCCTGTGCAATCATATTTTCCTTTCGACTGTCTCTAGTGATTGGTTACCTTAGTTTTTCCTAGAAGAAGACTTTTACCCTGTTTCATTTCCACTCTCGACACACTCTCATAACACGTATTTTTAAACAACTAGTAAACAAACGAATTTTGATAAAGACGCTCCTCTAGATAGGTACAAATTACTATACCCCTTTTAAAGTCAGGTACTCTTGCTTTTATCCGTATTCTTCCACACTAACCGTAGTATAATTACATCTCTACATTTCTATGGATTAAGCGATCACGTGAGAAATCGCATGACGTGATCGTTTTTCTTTTTGTTCATTTTTTTTGCATATGTAGATATATAGAGTATATTACAAGTGTGTGTGCATGTTTGTTCTTCATATTTTACTTTAACATTAGTAAAAAAATTGTGCGAAACGTGACTCATCAAATCCTATCTCACACTACTAGTTGTGTATAGGTTAATTGCAAGCTCCGATCAATAAAGAATTAATATAATATTGACCCTACTCCAAGCACTTAGGAATCAGATAGACTCCTTCTTCAGTGAAGATTGACACAATTAATAAAATCTAGTACGCTCTAAGTTGTGATGAAAAATATTTTTGTTCTTTCATATTTGTTACTGTATCTATTTTTACCACCTCATTGTTTAAATGATATAAAAACAGCAACCTTAGAGTTTTTATGCACTCTTATAATAGAGCAATGTATCCTATTTCAAAGCTACAGAGCTAAACTATAAGGTGTAGGATAGTATTATCGCAGATGTATAATAAGTGATGCATACGATATCAACTGCAGCACTTAGTAAATCTTACCTTTGGGGCGCTACCATTGTATACATTTCCATTGAGGTCTTGCAAAAGGTTCAGTATACACACTCACAACATTCACATTGCATTAGGTATGTGCAACCGTGGACATTATCACTTCCAGCTTCATATCATACAATTTACAGGCAATGTCTGTGAGTCCTACATGGACTCTTATGCTAGTAGCATCCTTTGCCATTACATGGGCGATTTCGGCGATTGGTTCCATAATAATTGTAGATCTTCCAGAATGGCTTTTGTCACATGAATTCTTTATTTCCTCAAATTTCTGAATCAACTTCTGCACGGTCTTCTTTGCAGCTTATGTCATTCCCAAAGAGCTGCTTCTGTGGTGCAGTTTTTTCTAGTAAGGCATCACTATCTGCCTTTACACATGCTAGTTTCTACAATCGTTGATATATATACGATTTTTCTAAAACAACTTTTGGGTAGTATGAAAATTATGCAATGATAGCGCCTCTTGTGACAAAATTTGAAAAGAGCTGTAACTCCCTTTCTATGTACTGCTTATTACACTTGTGCAATGGCATCAACCTACAAATTATAGTTTAGATCGTATTAAAGCACTCTCAAGCGGGATACTTGTTTTATAATCACTGTGTGTGTGTGGTACAATTGTTTTGTATATGCAAAATATGATTACTTTGTTGGAAACAATATACTTTGAAATATTTTATTCAAATTAGAAAACTATATACCAGCGATATAAATACTGTTTAGAATTTTTCAAAGTTATTTAATTGTTCATCTTGAATAACATTAACATTTACAAACGCATTATAACCTGGCTTTATTCAAAAGGAACCTTATTTCACAGCGTGTAATAACGCATTATTTAACAAAATGAACAGTTAATTATAATTAAACCTACAGAGACAAAAATCATGTTGAGATCATTAATGTATGCTATATACTGGTATTATTTTGGTAAGCCTTTTTACTTTTGCAAACATTTTAACACAGTGAGTCCTTTAATAATACAAAATAATTCAATCGCACCGTTACGTAATGAAATATAAATTTCTATTCTCAAATAAGAATACTTCATGTCATATTTAATATTAAATACGCATGCTCCTAAACTACTTATTCTTGGGAGTACTTTTGTAACACATAACCCTTACTTACCATACTCATTCCATTCCCCATTATAGGCGTTGTTATATGTCTATTAACTCTATGCTTTTAGTGCTGCTTCACCGATGGATCCTTATTCTTGGGAGTAATTTTGTTTTTCACCCCTCAGTTTAGTTAGATCAAAGTACCCTAGGTGGTACAATACAAAATAAATTTTAATCAAATTAACCTAATTATAAATTAACGATTACTATAACCCGAAAAACTGATTATAAATATAATCAAAATTTAAAAATGCAAAGAACGAAGCTCTATTTCTATCTAAAATTTTGTGAGATATGGTCGTATAAAAAACCTGGGATAACTTTTGGTGTTTAAAACTTTCTTTCGTTAAATAACAATTAACAAGTGTGATGAAATGTCAAGATGAGAATGACACTGAAGTGAAAAACGTAACGTTGCGCGAAAAGATATAGATTTCAAAGTAACTTTCACCGTAAGATGCCGTACTTCCCGTACAACGAGTTTAAAACACCAAAATTATTTCTTGAAAGGCACCTTACATCAGCCGTGTATATTTGATTGTTTTTAATTTCGCGCAAAGCTACACTAGGGCTATCCGCACTAGCCGTCCCTAATTTAGCACTGAAAGACTAGAAGGAAGGCAGCTAGTCATCACCAACTCTTGGGCTACTCTTTTACCGACGAATAATGGGATTGACCGTCACATTATACGTAGTTATTTAATACTTCATTATTACAACGAACGTATCTGGAAGCGGCGCATAACAGTTAAACGTTTTATCAGTACTTTGTTCGTCAAAATCGTTACACACCGAGTGTTAAATGTGAACATTTCAAAAAATGACATATTTTCAACATACGAAATCGATAACGTTGTTTAAGTAAATGTTGACGTTTTATGTCTAAGTTATATTCACAAAAAAGGAACAAATGCCTGCCTTAGCACCTACTAAAAGTAAAACAAAATAAAAATAAAACCACACCGTAGTAAAACTAAAAGTTATACTTGGCTTGGCAAGCTTAGTAGATTTAGGTTAGTCCTAATTCCATAAACTAAACTAACAATGTGGAATAATGAAAGCAATCTTAAAGAAATGATAGAGTACGAATAATTTACTACTGTTGCTGGAAAATAAAAATATTCTACTGCCTATTAAACTTACTAAGACTAAGAGAGCTACCTACGATCTATAAATAAAACATCGTTATCACTCTGAAAGCACGCACAGTGTCTACGCAAGAATTACCACACCGAACTACCTACCTCAGTATTGTATTTCAATGCACGTACATAATAGAAAATAGTGCATAATACATTGACCAACAGTGACACGAGCTTCACACTTGCTCTGGAAGTGATAACGATGTTTTGTTTATAGATCGTGGGTAATCCTCTCAGTCTTAATATTGTTTATAGACAGTAGAGTATTTTCACTTTCCAATAGCAATAGCAAGTTTCTTTATGATTGATGCAATTTAATAAAACAGTACGAACAAGTAAATTTACGTCAAAGTATGCAATGTTGTGAAACTTATCAATAGACCTACGCATGTCCTGTCCGGCCACGGGAATTCTCCTGAGTCATAACCGAGTTCGTTACTGTTGATGTTCATTACCTGTTATAGTTTTGCTGTTCAAATTAAGTGTTGAAACTTTCTAGAACTGGTTACTAACTTGCTGGAACGAAGTTTAGATTTTTCTTGTTGTTTGATGAAGGGTTCAGGGCATCACCATGAGTAACTTTTCACATTTATGTGTAATATTGTTGTACAATTGGATTATAAGTTAGATGATAATGACTGTACAATTATTTGAAGGCTAGAATTAGTTAGTTATGAATATTACTACTTTCTGGATAAGCGCTATTTCTTTCTCTTTTCTTACTGTTTCATGTTTCCACTTTCTTAAAAGATTTCAGTGCCCCTACCCCTTCTCCGTCGTCAGTGTTAAGGTTTCATCGTGTAAGTTCAAAATTACTGTGATACTACTAGTAAAAACGTTTATATTACACCACATATAATTGTCCTAAAAAGGGATCATGCTTTGTTCTTTTTATACGGCAACAATCACTGAATTAAGTTTATTATGAAGTATTTAATCTTATTTTACAATTTTATATATTATAGTTTTCATATACTTAGTCTTTGAGTATGTGTATCGCTAACAACTTTCTTGTTTCAGTCTTAGTCTTACTTCCGTTAAGACATAAGTGTTTTCCTTTAATTACGAGTGACCATTTGATAGTCATCTCAGTTATCAAGTCTATAAATTGTAATTTTAGCTTAAAACTGTTTTTAAAAAGCAATGGACAACTAATTTGCTCAATAATAAGATATTCTTATTCAGAAAAACATTAATAATCTTAAACTATTCTCACTTAAAAATAACGTCGTTTAGTCATATGCTGTATGTCGTAGAACATTATCGTTACAAAATAACAGGACAATTTCCATTCTCTCCCTTGATTATCAATAACAGATAAATACATATTACCTTCTACTCTTCACCCAACAGTGAACATTGCTAACTTGCAGACGACAAACACCGAACACCAGGAAACAATAGAGTGAAAGTGTACGACATCTAGTGACGTTGCCGACATTTTCTAGCAAATTAATTAAATTATGACAATTAACTAGACTTTCAAGTTGTGTAAGATGCATTTAAGCAGGATATACGCTTCTCAATAAACAAATAAGAAATTAAATAACTCGTATTAATTTGATTCTAAATGAAAACCAAAAACAAAATTTTTGACTATACAACTTAATTATTTAACATGCACTTAAGATATTAAAAGCTTTTTGTTTTTAGTGTTTGTTATAAAACACATGGGTCTCTATTGAAATTAAATTATTCTAAATACACTATAGCGTAATGAAATAAAATGAATCAACATTTTACTAGCTGTGGAACATTTTCTATAGATCATATTAGTGTACAATGTAGCCCCCCAGTGGCACAGCGGTATGTCTGCGGACTTACAACCCTAGAAATCGGGTTTCGATACTCGTGATGGGCAGAGCACAGATAGCCCTTGAGTAGCTTTTTGCATAATTAAAAACAAACAAATTACTGTATAATGTCTCTGCAAACATTAAATGAGAAATTTATTGCTTCTACCTCATTACTGTTTTACTATTTCAGTTAATTTTATATAAATGTTAAGGAAATATTCAATAATTTTATATAAATATCTAAAATGATTATAAATATTAAAAACACGGTAATACCAAAAACATTTTTAATACGGACGTTTCGTAATTTTCTTAAATTCCATCATCAGCGTTAAAATCTCAAAAAAATTGTAACTAGTTCATAATATTCTAACTACGAAACATTATCATTGAGGGAGTTTTCGTATTCAATCGGACGTTTCGAAAGAACAGGTATAAACGGTAACAATATAATAGAATGTACGATAAAACGTGCGGCATACACTTGTTTAATAAATAGCATTGTTAAGATAATCTATTATAGAGAAGGGCTTAATTATAAGTATAAACACTGTATCTTTAAAATAATACTAAATATCACAGAGAATCCGGAATTGATTACATTAATGACAACAGGGAGGAATTGATGTTAATATTTAGTGTTGGGTGATAATTGAAAATGGAGAGATTTTCTTTAATAAAACTCGCTCAATGCTAATGTTACTTTTTGTAGTTCGAATATTATGAATTAATGTGTTTTTTTCAGAGATTTTAACGCTGATGATGAAATTTAAGGAAATTCCGAAACTTCCGTATTAAAGATGTTTTTTAGTATTACCGTGTTTTTATTATTCATTATAAAATTTCGTTTTCCACCCGATGAATCAGTTCTAAAATTATTGTATTTAATAATATCAGCATGTCGTTTAAAAAACATGTAAGTCTATCAGTAATTGTTTGCTAACTAGAAATATCCAGATACTTCACTTGTCTTTCATATAGAGTCATTTCTTACTAGTACGTAACATTCTGAGTTGATACATTTTTTCACAGGTATGGTCTGTGACCACTAAGTAATAAAACGTTTAGAGAACACAACTTATTCCGAATACACAGAAAAATGAATTTAATTACAGTGGATTTATGTTAATACATACGTTAGCCTTTAAGTATTTATTGTAATAAGTTTCAGAGTTTTTGTATTTGATTAAATTCAAAGAAGCTTGAGGTTGATATATATATATTAATGTTAATAGTTGCAGTTCTAATGGGAGAGCCGAGCGTGGCCTAGTGTTTAGTGTTACAGGTCCAAAGCTTGAGCAGCAGTTCCGAGAGAATATGGGAGGGAGCTAACTGTAACAGGCACTTGAGGATGACTATGCCCGAACCTTGACCTGGCCGTTTATCCCATTTATCTCAAAAGGTGCCGTTCACATTTAAAATACCAAATACTTAATGGAAATCAGTATTGGACGAAAAGAGACGAATGTTTATTCATAGTATATCAATAGTTAAAACAAAAAGACTAAAAAATTTAATAGAGATTCTATACAAGAAATTTCCCATACACACTTACGCATATAAAGCTCCAATATGTGATATTCTTGACCTTTGACTTACATGTATCTTAACTGATGAAGACCTCCAGTGGCTCAGTGGTAAGTCTGAAGGCTAAATGACGCTAAAAACCGGGTTTAGATACCCGGGGAGCGCACAAAACAGAAAGCTTATCGTGTAGCTTTGTGCTTAACTATAAACAAACGAACACGCAGAATGATGTAACTGATATAGTTCGTGAAAGCGGATGTGTTTTCCTTCATCATAGTATATTTGTTTGTTTGTTTTGAATTTCGCGCAAAGCTACACTAGGGCTAACTGAGCTACTTTTTTTACCAACGAATAGTGGGATTGACCGTCACATTCTAACGCCCCCATGGCTGAAAGGGCGAACATGTTTGGTGTGACGGGGATTCGAACCCGCGACCATCAGATTGCGAGTCGAGCGCCCTAACCACTTGGCCTCATCATAATATAGAAATCCATGGTATAATAACCGTAACAAACGTCGTTGAAACTGTTTGCTTGAGTTTTTGTTGTTAAGCTCAAAGCTACTCAATTGGCTGTATGTGCTCTGCCCACCGCGGGTATCGCAACCTGATTTTTAGCGTTGCAAGCCTTTAGTCTTACCGCTGAGCCACTGGGGCGCACTTTAAGTATC